TATTTATGAATGCCCTGGAGCAAACATAATACTGATGAGTCAAGTACTCATTTCAGGACTTATTTAGTATTTTCTATAAATCTAAAAGAACAAGAAACCTGCACTATCAATGTTATTCCCAGCATTAGAAAAAATCAGATGTGTGAATTGGCTTTCCATGGAAGTCATGACATAGCAAAGACTCAGGTTTATTGAGCATCGCGTCATCTCATCCGGCACTGAGTTCAGGCTACCTTGTTGCTACCACCAATGAAGAAGAACCAATGGAGAATTACTGGTTTCAGTTTTGGTGGTGGATACAGCCATAAAGTCTCAGAGCAAGTGGGAAATGTAGGTTGTAATTTTTTGGACCCGTCAGATATGGTGAAATTCTGACTTTAACGATTGTGGCTGTCTTGAGAGAAGGAAGTGGTGTCAACTGCATATCTGCACAAAAATTATCCCATCACCACAGGACAGATTAAGGGTGAAGCAGCTGTGGGTACCCCTGGGTTCTATGGAGGTATATCTCTTGCTAGTGTAACCCAGGCAGTACTCCAAGATGTACCCCCTCTCCAATTGAAGGGATCAGAGCAGGTGCACAAGCTCTGTGGGAGGTGTAGGGCCCCTTCTTCCCCCAGAGACCAGAGCCAGATCACCAATGGGGATTTAACCATATACTTTTAATGAGAAAAAAAACAGTAGTGAGAACATAACATGCATAAACCAGGGGGTATAGGGGACACTACAATGCCCCAAGGGGGCAGGATTCAATAAAGGTTAGGCACTTACAATCGTACACATATTCATCCAGTTGACAAAAGACAGGTTTAACAAAATATAAAACACAAACAGTAGAACAAACAATACTGGTTGGTGAACTATAAAATGCACAAAATACAAAACATCAAATAACAAGAAATATAGGGCCTAGGTACCTGGAGGGGGGAAAGAGGGAAAACACAATGACCCGCTTCCACTGCAACAAGAATTCCTCCCTAACACTTCACTCACCCCAATTCATCCTAGCTGGGACTTGAACTCCAGTCTCACACATGGTAGGCAAAAAAAAAAAATCTCTGTTATACAGCTACCAGTGCTGGCACTACTTTAAGCTACTAGGTGTTTTGACTTTCCAAGAGCCCCCGCCTCATGTTGAGCTTCCTGGCCTCTTGCTGGAGGAGCTGGAAGCAGAGCTGGGAACCTCTCAGGTCACTGCTCAGCTTGTTGCTGGAGCTGGGGAACCTCTCCTGCTGGCTGCAGCCCCTCATAAGGGGATCCTGGAGCCCAGCGGGGAGCCTCTCCTGCCAGCCATATGCCGTGCTGCTGAGGGTCCAACTGCTGCCTGCAGGTCCCACTCCTTCAGGTTCTTCTGGGGCAACTGCTCCTGCCTCACTGGCCCAGCTCTTTGAAACTCCTTCCTCATGGTCCCTCGCTGGTCTCCTCTGAGTCAGCTGCGCTGCCTCTTTTAACCCCCTCCAGGTGACCCGAGGGGCCAATCAGGGGACATGGAGAGTGAGTCTCTGGGGCCTGATTGGTGAGGAAAGGGAATCCCAAGTCCTCCAATCATCTTTTACCCTTTCAAAACCCCTGGGCCAAATCATTACCAGCTAGCCCGTCACACTAGCACAAACCAATATCCTCATCCTGCATGTTGGGGCTTGGTTATGCCCCTTGGGATTATAGCAAGCTACATACATTGAATCATCTTCAATGTATGCTCTACAGAGAGGGGGTAAATAGCTTTCTTCCTTACCTAGTACATCTGAGTTAACATAAGTTAATTGTCTTCATTTTCATGGCCTTTCATAGCTTATGCACACATACCAGTTACTTCATATTTTCTATTGAGTTGTCATCTCACATCTTGGATCAGTACACGATGTAAGCCTATTTCACCCACTTCTACCCACTTTCTACAAATCTACAAAGCCCTGTTATAGGTTTCCTTTATTGTGAGTCTTATGAAAACTTCATAGTGGCTAGGTTACTGATGTCCTACGGCCATTGCCTGTCCTTCTGACCAATATTGTTTCATTGTTTCCTTGGTACTCCCCTGCCTGTATTCACTTATGATTTCTTGTCCTATACCTAGCATGTAAACTCTTTGGGGTGGGGATTTTCTTCTTTTTTCTGTTTGTACAGCACCTACTTAGAAAGAGATCCTGGTCTACAGATGCCTGACTGGGGATTCTAGGCATTCCAGTAATGTTAATGATTACTAATAACAACTGAAAATACCTCTAGTAATATATTAGTATAAATTTGATAGTCATACTTTGCATTACTGCAGCTTCTTTCCTGGAAAATCCCAAAGCACTGTGTAAACACTAAGAAGCAACACCTCTCCGTGGCATGTAAGCATTGCATGTGTGGTAATTTATTCCTTGAGCATCCTCAGAAAAAGATTTGATTAAGTATCTCTCTATTATTTCATAATTCCCAACCCCTCCTTAGGTCCCTCATGTCTTCAGTGTTTTAATTTTGCTTTACATATCACTTAGAAAAGTGCACAAATATACATTACCAATAATAAACTACCTCAATTGCTAGTTAGCAGATTTATAAATACTGTAAATCTGTTAACAAGTTGGTCATTAAAATAATCACTGACCTGTTTCTCTGAGATAATAGCTGAGAAACCATAACTAATGACCTACAAAAGTAGCAATGTGTTAAGCAAAATTAATAGCGGCAGAGCAAAGCACACAATTAATCACCAAGGAGACTTCCACAATGACTAATTCTTTGTCAGCCACCAAACTTTGACTCACGCTAACTTTGAATGCAGTACAGTGAGGCTGCTACACAGAAGGCTGTGTGCACACCTCTCTCCCCTTCTCAGTTGATTTCCTACTGAAGAATAGTATTCAAGTAGTTCAGCCCACCAGTCCAGAGTAAAACCCTGCACTTATTAGAATAGATTTTAAGTAGAGGGCTGCTTCTTATCTCTATAATGGGGCAAAACAAAGTGGGGATCTACATACTCCTTAACTTGGAGAAATGTTTTCTCTGAATCTGAATTTGTGGCCTGAGCCCAGGCTAGGTTCACCACTGAGATTACAAAAGGGAGAAAGTGGGTTTACAAAAGGGAGGTGAGTGGATCCCTGCTTCATTTTCCATTATAATCTATTCTAGTGATGTGCAGCTATTGTGATCTTGTAGTCTCCTCTTGTGCAGTCTTAGAAATCCAGCAAAGCAGCAGAAAACCCAAAGGAAGTGGTAAGTCGGGGAAACGTGGTACACATGTTATTACACAAGAGCAGACAAGGGTGAGTTTTCACTGCAAAGGTTGCTTGGGGAGTGAAGAGTGAAAACTCCCCAAGAGGGCAGGTGGGGAATGAAGATCCTCATGATCGTGGGAGGAAAGCCTTGGGAACTTACTTTTATTGAGGACAGTGAGCTGAGATAATTGCCACTCAAGTATGTTCCTACAATCCCCTGTAAACCTGTGGAATATACAAACATGTCAAGCACTATCCTCCCAGCAAATGAGTCCCATTCAGGCTTTTTTGTGTGGTTTTCTTTTGTTTGTGCTTGGATTTTTTGTTAGGGGGAACTCTTGCCCAGGAATCACTTTCTCCTCTACCCTTCCCCTACTTAGCTATAAGGAGTCACACAATGAATATTTTTTGCTGCTGCTTAAGTCAAATTCAGATAAGAATATTGAGCCTTACATTTTATAGCATTGGTTTCCAGTATTGTTGACTAGCCCTGGCCTCTGGGGTTCTGTTGGCCTAGATAAGCTGCCAAACATCTGCCTGTTGAAGTAAAGATTTTCTAGTGCCATACTAGTTACAATAGTATGGAAGTTCAACCTGGGTAAATAGAAATGTATAGTGAGGCAATGGGGCTTTCTTTTCTTTCCTTTTCCCTAGATAAAAATGGACTAAAGTGTTCAGTTAGTGTTCAATTAAATGCTGCTGCAGACATCACTTTCTTTCTTCTGTTTGCTAACAGCTGTGTTGGTCTTGAACAGCGTTTTAAAGCATTTAGAACCAAACTTTTCAGACAGATCTTTTCTCTTAGGAACCCCATAATTTGTGTAGAGGTAGAGATCCCTGTGCCCTTTTGAAAATCTGACCTTTTGAGGTATCCATAGGGAACATCAGTAGTAGAAAGTATAAAATCCTCCATGCAAAGAGAGAGATTTTATTTTGTGCTATTTGTACCCATCTGTCTAGATATTTATACTATGCTTATTGCCATGACAGTGAATTTAGAGGAATAGATGATGTGTTATATACATAGGTCTCAAAAATGAGAATGACACAGCCCCCACTGACAGGTCACATAGGTGCTTCAACAGAAATAGTGCTTGAAGAGCAACTTTTTTCTGTCTTTTGCAATCATTGCTTAGCTGACAAGCCCAGACTGAATTACATCACTTCCTAAAAGCAATCAAGTACTGTACCTCTCCTTAAGAAATTTACTCAGAGAAACCCAAGCAGGAAACAGGAAATGTACACGTTCCTGCAAACTAAGGGAGAAATTAACACAGAGCATCATGTCTTGTCACAGAAAAAGCAATATGCACAAGCAAAATGTCATGCTGTTTTCTGTCCTGTTTCTTGCCGCAGGATCCACCAGTTATGGTAAGTACAAAAGTGCCTTTCACATTCTAAAGAAGAACGGAGAAACATGTTTTGTGCCTGCAGCTATCACGCTGTTGGAAGGTAACACCCTGAAAATCTGATCTCTCTGAAAGATATTTGTAAAAACTTGCACTGTGTTTCTTTTAGCTTTATAGCTTTGCTACTTCCAACTGTCTGCCTCTACTTATTTGTTCTCCAAACAAAGATTAGCTTGAGATGCATTATCCCAAGAACTCAGGTGTGTTCAGAGGCAGGTTTTTCTTCTGACCCAACAGTAGTTTTCTGTTATTATTTTAACTGTGCAGTGTATTTTGTTTCTAAAAGGCATGCTTTCTTAATATCAACATTTAATGGGAAAGTTAAAAAAGTGTGCTTTAGCTGCATTCAACATTCCAGCTGAGTATTCACGCAGCCACAAAGAACAAATTATATTCAACAAAAAAATAGTTTGTACCATAGACTAATATACCAATGTTCCCTCTTGCAGAACAAAATATTCTCTGTTGTAATTAGGATAGTTTCATTTTGAAGGAAAAAAATCATTAGTTAAAAAAAAGTCACATAACAAACCAATAAAATGCTTGTGTGTCATGCCCACAGGCTTTTACCAGTTCTGTTTTTTATGCATGCCACTGTGGGTTTCATTTGCATTTTGTGCATGAAACAGCGGCAGTAGATGAACAATGTTGGCAGTTCTTTTAATAAAAACCTACAACTGTTTTCCTTCTGTGCCTTTGGGTGTGAAACAAATCACAATGAAGTATTTCAGTATGCATCAATAATAATGCAGTAGCCAGCAACAGTTGTCCTTAAAGCATAAAGAGAGAACAGTTACTCCCATTGTTGCCAACCTACTTCCACTATGGTTTTAATGACTTTCATGAAAAGGTTTGGGGGAGGGGGATGTTCCCCATAAAAACAGTGTTCAGATCACGATGCAAAACTGGGTTTGAGACTCCCATTACATTAAAGATCTTACTATGGCTAAAAATCATGTTTAACCACATAGGAACTCTGACTGAGTTATAGTGTTGTGTAGTCTTACCTAAATAGATTAAATTAAAATGTGCTACAGACATGGTTAAAGAAAGAAATAATACATTCTAGGCTTCAAACTTGCATTGCAACCAAAGTCAACAGAAAAAAAAATCCCTACCCACAACAAGCAAAGAAGCAGTGCTAGAAGAGGAATTCTCTGAGGCATGATGGAAAATAGACAGATTTCAAAGGATGTGGTTTAATTATGCTGCATCTTTACTAACTCATCTGGGGAATTTGATAAGGCAATGCAGGTCATCATTACTTCCTTAATCATTTCTACCTGGTGGTGGTCTGCTCCCAACCCCCTCATCCCTCTAGAACAGTTACACAGCCTAATCATAATCAGCTATCCCTCAATATGAGGATGATGTCTGCCGGTGGTGGGGGGTAGGGTAGGGTAGGGTAGGGTAGGGGGGAAATTACCGGTGAGTTTTAAGGTGGCTGAGGAGTCCAATCCATGCTCTGCAAGTTTTTCCACACATATGACAAGTGCTGCCTGGGTGGGGGGGCACACAACTGTTGGCCAGGATGTTGTGCACTCTGCTGTTTCTTGGCTTCCTGAGCAAGACAGTTCTCTTTGAAGTGGGCTGTACCTTGATGTATGGTGCAGCACCATTAAGACCTGTTACCAGCCAGCACTTTCCAATTTGTAGGCTTGATGCCACCCTTCTTAAGGCATGTTTTTAGGGTGACCTTGTAGTGCTTCCTCTGTTTTCTGCAGGTCCTCTTACCATGACTAAGTTGAGAGAAGGGGAGACAAGTGTCAGCCATCTGCATACCCTGTCCAGCCCAGTGGAGTTGATAGTTCATGATCTTTGCCTCAACTCTGGTTATATTAGCTTCAGAGAGGATGCTGGCATTAGTGCAGTGGTTTTCCCATCTAATGCAAAGAATTTTCCTGAGGCAACGCTGATGGAGCCATTCCAGGCACTTAAGATGGCTTCCATATGTCGCCCACGTCTCACATCTGTAGAGGAGCCTGGGGATAACCACTGCATTGCAGACCAGGATCTTAGTTTCCATCTGCAGATCTCAGCCACCAAAGACACTGTGAAGCAGCTTTGTGAAAGAAACGGTGGCAGAGTGAATCTTATGTTCGATTTCTACGTCAAGACTGACTGATAGTCTAATAACATCTCAGATGAGAGATCACAGGCAGGTTAAAGGGGTTTTTTTATTCACTGAATCACACATTAGGAACCTCTATCCTGTTCCTAAGCTTCTTAAGGATGCTTTCATAAGTCTAGTTCTTAGTCTAGTTTATAAAGGGATTGGAGCCCTTATGAAAAAAATACCTCCACTGGTCACCTGCTAGAATGTATCTTTTTCAGCTTTACCTCCTGACCCACCCACCGGGTCCTGGGCTGCTGTAAAAAAGGCAACCCCCCCGCCCCCCCAACCTTGCTGATCTGATGTCAAGGAAAGTTCCTGTCCAGTCCTGAAAAAGGCAACTACCGTAATACCTAAAGCAGACTGCAGTCCTACTCTGATCTGAGGGGAGAAGAGGTGGGAGCTGTTAATCTGAGCAAGAGAGGGGGCTCAGACTGGAGGGATGGGGTTTAAATCCTCTTCACTCACATGCTCAGGGCCCACTTTCTCAGTGCTCCCAATCCTAAAAGGTGGGATTCTTAACAGATCCCCTATCCTTTTCCCCACCCTCCATCTTTGAGGTTTGGGGATTGTAATCTCTTTCTGAAGTTGATTTTAATAATACTGAAGGGTCCACATTCTCAGGTGATCTCTGCAAGGTCTCACCTATGCTTATGGGGCCATTTACAAAACAGGAGGCTTTAAGAACAACTGCGGTGCTAATAGCAACAAACCCTTTCTAGATCTCCTTTCTGAATTGCACTCGAGTTTTGCAAAGTCCACATCTCATCATTTGGATTATAATTACTAAAAGGTTTGGTCCCAGCTACATTAGACTAAACCGTGCTTTAATTAATTCTGGGTGTGTAATCAGATGTGTCAGCACAACAGCTGGTTTTATAATGTAGATGATTCCACCCAAGCTGTGCTGGCATTTCCGAGAATGTTCCAGGTCCTTTTGTAGTCTGTTGAGTCCTTGGGAAGTTGGTGAACAAGATACCGTTTTGCCATACAACAAGAAACGTGTTCCGACACAGACGTAATAATAGGCTTCATTCAGAGGACATCAGGAGGCGAGTGTTAGATCCCATACTATATTTGTGCTGTATCTCCATGCTATTATCATTCTTTGCCATCACTGAAGAGGCTCTCTGAATTCAGTTTCTAAATATGCTGAAACTTGTACAACAGTATTTACAGAAACCCTACAGTGCTGGAAAGAGCTTGTGGGTCAAGTTGCACTGAGGAATGATTCCCTTTTTCTCTTCCCCGTAGTGGTAAGTTCCAAAGTGGATTTGGATTCGACAAAACTGAGCATTGCGAGTTTCTAACAAAGTGAAATGAGGGTCTGCTATCATCCTCTTTTATCTGCTATCATCCTCTTTTGTCTGCCTCCTCTTACTCCCAGTGAATTGCTTGCCAAATGCCCTGTTTGCTGTCCTTGTTTGCTCGGTCCCCAGTTGGCCTCTCCAACACTTCCAGACAGAGATGATCCTGCATTGCATAGGCAATGGTTCTCAAACTTTTAGGACTTGAAGCATGCCTCATTGGACTCAAGGCACCCCTCCAAAACTTCTGTGAAATAGGTGGCACAGAGTTTCAATGGATGCCACTAATTTATATATTACAGTGTTTACCTCTTTGCAGACGGGCCTGGCAGTGGGGGCAGGAGACTGGTCAGGTATGGACAAGCCTGAGCCTGTGCTCATCTCCTCACACCTCACTTATCCTCTCATCCCTCAGGGCACCCTTTGAAGGATCTGGCAACACCCTGGATGAGAATCACTGGTACAGGTGGTTGGACTAAATGACCTCCTAAAGTCCCTTCCAGCCCTAATTTTCTGTGATTCTGTCATTCTGTCTGACATGGCACACCACATTTGGAGCACCCTCCCTTTTCAAAGATAACCCTTAAGTTTAGCTGTCTGTAAGGCAGGTATGGAAACATGGACAGGTTTTTTACTGAGCAGGTGAATTCTTTGTGTATCTTCTCTCATCACCTTCCATTTTATTCATAAGGGCTTTACTTTTTTATGTTCCTAAAATGCAGATGCATGTCAGAGAGAATCTTTCCTCATACATCAGCAAAACTGTATCCTAAATGCCAGTCTGTGACCCCATTGCAATGTCCCCAAGGTATTATATGAATGCTAATAATAAAGGCTTATATATAGATTTTAAACTTTTGAGAATCAAGGAGTCTAGGAAGATTCCCCATCACAAATTGTTGGGGGAAATGAGGGTTCACAGATGTCACTGAAAACAGAATTGGAAGACAGCAAGGTAAAGCAGGTGTAAGTAACTGCACAATTTAGTCTTCAGACCTTTTTACTGGTGATTAAAAATGAGACTGAAGTTTTCCTAAATGCTGGAGTAAATTTGCAGCACTGGTGGGTAAAAATACCAGGAATAAAGTTGTACCAGAAATACAACCTAGTGTAGCAGAATAAAGCTGTTCCGTAATCTAGAAATAAATGGAAAGGTTCAGACATAACTAGCTGAAACAGTTTTTTGGTAAACATCTGTTTTTATAGGATTCTTTCTATGGATTTGACTTTTGCAACAGTGTAAATTTTACTTCTTTAAACTAGCACATCTATTAATTGGCTAGTCTCCTGTTCTTTGAAGGATTGCTTCCTAGGAATGTATTTAAGGCAGGTATTAACATGTAACCTGATCATTCTGAGGCAGGAGACTCCTTAGCTTTACATCCAGTTCAATCAGATAAATATGGTAGAAAATATTCAGGCAGAAATTAAAATGAACAAACTGAAGACACCCCCAACAGGACATGTCAATAAACAAATGCAATGTTAAATAAAATTGTACTTGCAACATGCCACCTGTATATATTTTAAATAAATATTATG